GAGTCGCCTCGACTGGGATAAGCTCACACCGAATACCAGCGTAATAGCAGCTTTATGTTATGATTTTGTTGTTTGTTTCGTATGTGATGAGAACTGGAGACCCTTTTTACTGGAAAATCTTAGTTCTCAAGGGTATATATACAACATGTAACAAAAACCCTGTGGTTCCCGTTAAGTGTGTTATCACAATCAGTATTGTAACGTATAGAAATAACTTTTTTTTTTTTCAAAAAACTCGACCATTAAAACAATTTTTTTAATATTATTTAATCAAAAAAAATATTTGCAAATTTATGTTGTTTTATTATCTCTAACTGACACGCGCGTCGGCAAAGCGAGGTTTTGGTCAATCCTTTTACTCCCCGGACAATGCAGAGTAATAAAACCATATACATTTTGCAAATTAAAATTTATATAAATTAAATTTAAAAAAAATATGGTCGAGTTTTCTAAAAGTTATTTCTAAACGTTTGAATACTGATTCTGATAACGTACTTAACGGGAACCACAGGGTTTTTGTTACATGTTGTATATTCCATCCTTTTTACAGGATACGAGATTTCATCTTAGTTCACAGGGTTGACAACACATCTGCATTACGATTCTTAATCGTGGATACATGTAGACGTCTATGAGCCACAGCATCTATTTACCATCAGGTGCGCTCGTTAATCACCATTATTCTATAAAAAAATAACTTTATTTGCAGTAACCTAGTATGGGTGGGTTATATAATGTAACCTTTATGAGCTAGGTATAGAACAACAGGCTTAGCAAAGTTGATTTTTTACAATCGTCAGCGGTAACAAAAAACTAAAAATGAAAGAGTATGACAGTATCTAATAGCTGTGGTAGTGTTCAGGGGATTAGCGCTCGCTGCAAATTTCACAGTACGAGCAACCCGGGTTCTATCCCCGCCGGCATCGATTAAATTGTTAATTGCAATTAAGTGCTATTCACCATGTGCCGGCATGTTTCGGCGCTGAAGGGAAACATGGTGAAGAACCTGCATGTCTGAAAAATGAAATATTTCGACAAGACATGTGAAGTCCGCCAACACACATTGAGGCAGCGCGTCGGACACTTCCTTGCCCTGAAACCCTCTCCAAACTAAGAGGAAGCCTGTTCCCAGCAGTGGGACGTATATAAGCTGTAACTTTCTTTATGACATAATATATAAGCGTCGTGACAAGAACGTTGATTTAATGTAGAAACTTTGCGTGGTAGAACCATGCGGCAGCTATGTTAGTAGTATAGCTGTAGCACGAATGGGTCGGCTCGACCGGGGAAGGACCACGCTCTCACAGAATACCAGCGTAAAATAGCAGCTTAACGCTGCTGTGTTTCGTATGATTAATGTAGAGAACCGGAGACCCTTTTTACTGGAAAAGAGGCATTCTACCTTAGTTATCTGAGTTGACAACGCATCTGCATTTTAATTCGTGATCGAGGATAGATGTAGATGTCTATGAGCCGCAGCAACCACTTACCATCAGGTGGACTGTGTGCTCGTTTGTCACCCTAACCTCATATAAAAAAAAGAAAATTAAATTAACTAAGCAAGAACTTTTTGCATATTATTTTCATGAACATCGGGCCCATATCTTTATAGCTATATATACGCTTATATATGTGCTTATAAATAAGCACACATATTCATTAAAAATAATTATTAATGCACATTATTTACTATATATACAGGCAGGAGATGGGCAGCAGCATCTTCCTGATAACAACTGTGACGTAATAAAAAACTGCGGTTGCCAACCCGCTCGCCAAGCGTGGCAACTATGGCAAATACCCCCCAATGAATAAATACACAAACAGACGGCCCCCAGTCCCCGGCGGCCCCGCTATTCCTGGCTACGGTGGCGACCATGGTAACGGCGGGGCAGGGGGTGCTAAGAATCTCCGGTGGAGGTTCGGTTGCCACCTACGACGACTCGACCTGGCAACATATAACGCACGCACCCTGAGGACTGACGAGAAGATACTAGAGCTGGAAGAAGAGGTAGACAAGTTGCGCTGGCATATTATTGGATTATCCGAGGTCCGAAGAGAGGGGGGAGGACACGGCAATCCTCGAGTCCGGCAACTTGTTCTATCACCGGGAGGGCGACCATCTGTCCCAAGGAGGTGTCGGATTTATCGTCCACAAGTCTCTCGTCAACAACGTTGTAAAGATTGGGAGTGTGTCGACGAGGGTCGCGTACCTGATACTCAGAATCACCAAACGGTATTCGATGAAGGTCATTCAGGTTTACGCACCAACCTCGGCACATCCCGATGAGGAGGTGGAGGAAATGTATGAGGATATTTCCAGAGCCATACATTCCTCCAAAACCCACTACACGGTGTTGATGGGAGACTTAAACGCAAAACTAGGCACAAGAGAAAGCGGTGAGCTGAAGGTAGGGAAATTTGGAGTAGGGCAACGGAACCGAAGGGGCCAGCAGCTGGCCGACTTTATGGAGAAAGAGGGACTCTTTATGATGAACTCTTTCTTCCAGAAGCGGCCCCACAGGAAGTGGACCTGGTCGAGCCCCGACGGTTCGACAAAAAATGAGATTGACTTCATTATGACGACCAGACGCCAACTGTTCAGTGATGTCTCAGTGATCGCAAGGTTGAAAACTGGCAGCGATCACCGAATGGTTAGAGGCACACTGAACCTAAACGTTAAGTTGGAGAGGTCTCGTCTAATGAAGTCAACGCTCCGTCCCCCCTCGTGCTCTAATCCAGAATCCCGAAACCTTTCAGCTCGAGTTACGTAACCGCTTCCAGTGCCTAGAAGATTGCAATGCAGTGGACGATATGAACGACAAGCTCGTGGAAACTGTCCATGCGGTCGGAGCTAAGTTCTACAAGACCCGCCGCAGAAGAACACAAAAACTCTCCGATCACACTCTTAATCTCATGGCTGTTAGACGGGAGATGAGGCTGCAATCGTCAACAGATTTGACAGCATACAGGCAACTGAACAGACAGATCTCCAAATGCATGCGGCGAGACTTACGCAACTTTAATACTTCTCGTATTAAAGAAGCGATCGAGCGGAACCAGGGCTCCAAAGTCTTTGCCAGAGATCTGTCTGCCAGAAAGAGCAACCTGTCAAAGCTGAAGACTGAGTGTGGCAACATCGTTTCCGGGACACCTGAGATTTTGAGTGAGATTGAGAGGTTCTATGGGCAGCTGTACACATCATCGTTGGAGCCACACGTAAGTGTGAGTAACGATCCAAGAGCAAGTCTTATCCGACACTATTCCGATGATATCCCGGACGTCAGTCTGAGCGAGATTAGAATGGCTCTCCACCACCTTAAAAACGGCAAGGCCCCGGGCGAGGATGGAATTACAGCGGAGCTTCTGAAAGCGGGTGGAAAACCGGTACTTGAAGTCCTTCGGAAGCTCTTCAATTCCGTCCTCCATGGTGGCACTACTCCGGAGGCGTGGAGCAGAAGCGCGGTGGTTTTGTTCTTTAAGAAAGGCGACAACGCTCTCTTGAAGAACTACAGACCGATTTCCCTTCTGAGCCGCGTCTACATGCTATTTTCGAGAGTCATTACGAATCGTCTCGCACGCAGACTCGACGACTTCCAGCCTTCCGAACAAGCCGGTTTCCGAAAAGGCTTCAGTACCATAGACCACATACATACCCTGCGGCAGATTGTACAGAAGACCGAAGAGTACAATCTGCCACTTTGCCTGGCATATGTGGACTATGAGAAAGCCTTTGATTCCGTCGAAATTTGGGCGGTGCTACAGTCCCTTCAGCGGTGCCAAGTTGACTGTCGGTATATCGAAGTGCTGAAGTGTTTGTACAGTAGGGCTACGATGGCTATCCGAGTACAGAACCAGAGTTCGAAACCTATCCAACTGCAGAGAGGTGTAAGACAGGGTGATGTTATATCCCCGAAACTCTTCACCGCTGCGTTGGAAGACGTTTTCAAGCTACTGGACTGGAAAGGATACGGTATTAACATCAATGGCGAGTACATCACTCACCTTCGATTTGCCGACGATATAGTCATTATGGCAGAATCGCTGGAGGACTTAAGCATTATGCTCAATGACCTCAATAGTGCCTCCCAACGGATAGGTCTTAAGATGAACATGGACAAAACAAAGATCATGTTTAATGTCCATGTCACACCTATGCCGGTAGTTGTTGGGAGCACTATGCTCGAAGTTGTTGACGAGTACGTTTACCTGGGACAAATAGTCCGACTAGGTAAGTCCAACTTCGACCGAGAGGTCAATCGACGGATTCAACTCGGCTGGGCAGCGTTCGGGAAATTACGACATATCTTTTCGTCAGGTATACCTCAATCTCTAAAAACTAGATTGTACAACCAGTGCGTGTTGCCAGTGATGACTTACGGATCTGAGACGTGGTCCTTCACTGCTGGCCGTATGAGGACGCTTAAGGTCGCTCAGCGAGCTATGGAGAGGGCTATGCTTGGAGTTTCTCTGCGTGATAGACTCAGAAATGAGGATATCCGCAGTAAAACCAGAGTGATCGACATAGCCCAACGGATTAGTAAGCTGAAGTGGCAATGGGCCGGCCATATAGCTCGAAGAACCGATAACCGATGGGGAAGAAAGGTTCTCGAGTGGCAGCCTCGTACCGGTAGGCGTAGTGTAGGGCGACCCCCCAATAGATGGAGTGACGACCTGGTAAGACATGCAGGAAGTCGATGGATGCAGGTGGCTCAGGACCGTGCTTTGTGGCATTACTTGGGGGAGGCCTATGTTCAGCAGTGGACTTGTGAAGGGCTGTAATGATGATGATGATGATGATTATTTACTATAAAGTTTAAGCCCCAAATATTCAAAGGCTACTCAATTTTTAGATGCCGTTAAGTCTCGTGCTGTCTCTGTCACTTTAAGTCAAAGTGACTGTGACAGCACTAGACTTAGCGACATCTTAAACTTGAGTGGTGTTTTGGCCATTAATATAGTAGTACTTTGACAAGCGGTTATGAAACAGAACACCTCACCTTAGTCCCTTCAACGCTGATAATGCGGTAAAGATTTCTCGAGGAGTCATAGAAGAAGGACACTGACACCGCTGTAGAACTGGCCGCCATCCATGACCGCTTCGTCTTTGGATCTATGTGAAATACGTGCGCCTTGCACGTGAAGATTGGTTGTTCTCTGGAAATAAATGAAAACCTTAATTTGGACTAGAATCTTCTACACATATAAATTAAAATGAAGTCTGTCTCTAATATGTCACTATACGTGGTAGAGCCATGCTGCAGTTTAATTATGGTTATAGCGCTAGTGGGTCGGCTCGACCGAGGAAGTGTCACGATCTCACAGAATACCAGCGTAAAATAGCAGCTTAATGCTGCTGTTTAGTATAGTGAGTGTAGAGAATCGGAGACCATTTTTACTGGAAATTAGGCTTTTCATCTTAGTTCTTAGGGACAACAACGCATCTGCATTTTGCTTCGTAATCGAGGATAGATGTAGATGTCTGTGGGCCCCAGCAACCACTTACCATCAGGTAGACTGTGTACACGTTTGTCACCCTATCTTATAAAAAAAAATAGGTTCATTTTTTTCTTTTTTTTAACCATTCCGGAAATTTGTCATAGACGGTCAAAAAGACAAAATTTTATTAATGGTTATATTTTTTGTATAATAAGGGTGACAAAGAGCACATAATCCATCTGATGGTAAGTTGATGTTGTAGCCCATAGACATCTACATTTATCTACAATTAAGAATCAAAATGCAAGGGCTTATGTTCAACAGTGGACTTAAAGGCTATAACGGAAATTGATACATCAGATGGTAAGATATCTATAGGATGCTTTAAGATTTTTGTAATATTTTAAATAGTTGCTTTTTCCAGCACGAATGTGACGAAATCATGATTTTTATATGAATTTATTGCATTTGTTGCTTATGACTTTGGCCTTGTGGTCGTACCGTATTCTATTTACATTACGTATTAGATACCTGCTGCCCGTCGACGGTTTGGGTTAATTTTACGTTGTTCTACGTTTCATAAAAAAAAATATTTCTACTGTCGTGTATCAACTGCCATCAGATTTTTCTAGTATTTCGCATAGAAAAGATATATATATATATATATATAATTATGTTTGGAGCCATAGGTATAGCCGCTAAAAAGCAATGGAAGTATGTAAAACTCACTTTTAAACTATCTTTATACATAGCAATGTGTTATGTACCTCCTCACGTAATATCATCGCCAACATAGACATACCATTAGCGACAAACCTCATTAAAATCACACGTCCAGTCGTTTTGAAATCAACTCAAACATATTTCTAAAAGAGATCGTGTCCCTAGCTAGTTTATTAATTAAAATTATGTTCATCTATACGTCATTTCTGTACGGGTTATTCCATACCATCACGCGAGTGTTAGGAGGTGTCAGAGGAAAATAATAAAGGAGATAGGCAGTAACACCTTTATGATAACAAATGAAAATAACTACTAACTAACATTTTTAATTTTAAAAACCTCCGAAACAAAAACCCAACACATATCTAAGAACCACAGCTAAAAAACCGGCTTTTAAATATAACAAACCGCACCCAAATCGGTTCACCCGTTTAAAATCTACGGTGCTACAGAGTGACACAATAGTCAGACAGACACACATAGCGGTCAAGCTTTATAACACCCATCTTTTTTACCGACTTCAAAAAGGAGGTATTCAAGTCGACTGAATGTTTTTTTTTATGTGTTTCAGCTCATAACTTCTCTAGGAGAACCGATTTTGATGATTCTTTTTTGATCTGAAAGTTGGTACCTCTCGTGTAATATATAAATTTAATCAAGATCTGACCAGAAGTTTTTGAGTTATCTTTAATAATGCGTATTTAATTGACTTCGAATACATTGATAATGTTCTCATTTCATTTTACCACTTGTCAACGCCTGCCAAGCATGTCACCTATAGCAAATATACCCCGTACAACTCACGGCACGAAAGTCCAGCGGTGACCGGTATTGCGCATATTTGGACGTATTACGCATTATTGAGTATGATTGGCTGTGCGTATCCTTCGCACGCGCTGATTGGCTCTCCAGTCGCATTCCGTCCTCCGTACTGATACGACAATCGCAGCTATCCCCACTACGTTTCGTTCAGCGCTAGAGTTACGTGCCGCTAATTGTATATGAAGCAATATATGGGGGAGGCCTGTGTTCATTTGTAAACATTAGATAGGCTGTAATAAATTAATGAATGAGGAGTATAGCGTAACTAATGCTTGATTCTAACCTTCTTCTTCTTCTTATTTCTTATATATAAAAATCAATAGCTGTCTGTAAGTGTTGGCGACGCGCCTATAAGAATATTTCAATTTATTAAGTTAACCGATTACGAATAGCTTCTGTTGGCGACGCGCCTATGAGAATATTTAAATTTATTAAGTTAACCGATTACGAATAGCTTCTAAAAAGCAAATTATCAAGTAACAATATTCCGATAAGAAAATGCTTAGTTGAATCTTAAAGAAATATCAAATTAATGATATGAAGGTCTTGGGTTCGACTCCCAGGCCGGACTAGTTTGTCGCTTTCTTAGTAATATCTCTTAATAAATTCATATAGGGAATTTTTAAGATATAAATTATGTTACCGGATTTGTTCCCCGGTTGAAATCATCTTTCAAGTGATGTAAATTTAAAGGAATATTAAAATAAAGTTAGAGACCAGGATTTGTTCCCCGGTCGAGATGATCGCTGTGCATAAGTAGAATTAATGGAAATTAATTGCATAAGTATTGTCTTATATGAGTTTGATGTTTTGTATGAAAACAAATGCCTATTTTCTATGATTGATTTATGAAAACATTCACTTATATTGTTATCTGATAAGAGATATGATAACTGATAAGAATCTGATTAGAAATAGTTTCTTACAGTTTGAGAATTGTGTAAAAGCATTGATTCAGCTTAGTATTGTTGATATTGGTGTATATTAGACTTTCCATTTTTTCTGATAGTCGATAGCCGTGCAAAGTTAGTTGTTCAAATAGTGTGAGTTCATAGACGCACGCTAGCCACGTACTTAGGAGGCCAAATATGTAAAAATTTAAATATTTGTAATTTCAGCAATTTATGTAAAAATGACTTGTGAAACATTTCAGATTGATTGTACGTGTAAAAAAGGTGAATTCTGTGTTATTTTTATGTGAAAATTCCTGTGAATAAGTGAAATAATGATAGTTTTTTATAAGAAATTTAAAAGTGTTTTAATAGTGAAATGTATAGATAAAATGTAAATTAAACTATTGTATTAGTTAAGATATGCATAATTTCAAATGGACAACATTGTTTTAACTTTCTATGTTAAATATTTAAGAAATTTCAACTTCGAACGTGTGAGTAAAATAGGCATATTTTGTTAAATAAATAAAAGGTTTTTTGTGATATGAATATGTAATGTATATCGTAGTATAGATATTTTTTTGCGCTATCTATACAAGTAAATTGTGTTAATGTATGACTTATGCAAATAAAGTTATTAAGTAAACCGTGAGAGAGTGATAGAACAAATTCATGTAATTGAGTTGCGCAAGCGCGCGAATGGCGCGGCTCACTTTCGCGTATAGCTCTGGGGTAGCTCAGTAAACGGGTTTTCTTGCAATTCGTTGATCAAGGATCTCCTAGGTGTGCGTTGTTTGCAGTTAGCAGTGGCTGTAAATGACCGCCGGTACGACATACTCCGCCGAACGTTGAGTCCCGTGATTCCGTGAGGCGTCGAGGTCACCGGCCCCTAGGTGATTCTTGGGCACTTTATGCGCTCCGAGTATCCTGTGCCTAGTCGCGTCATAAAGTGCCACCGTTGCACTTCCCCCAACCCTTTTGGTGTACAAAAGGGGTAGGCAGTGCCCAGAGTGTTGATAGCCATAAACTTTTATCACCATATTTTAGATAGACCCTTCATAGAGTTCGACTGACGTTGTTAGGATAGTAACATGTCAGGTAGGGATAAGGGGGAACCACCCCCCAAGTCCAGAATACCGCCGGATAAGAAAGGAGTGTTAGAGAGACCACTAGCAATTAGGGATATGATGAACCCGGAGCGCACCAGAACGGAGCCAGCGTTCTCCCATATCCCCATGCGGAAACCCGTCTCGCCGCGGAAGGAGCCCGCAACGGGCGTCGCGCTCACGCCAGCCGTGTCTAAGCACACGGTTAGGCAGGAACCGTCGCCCCAACAACAGCGGGCCAAGAAAACGGCCAGACGCCACACGCCGCCAGAGACCGAAGCCTCCCTATTTGAGAAGAGGCAACGGGTAGGCTCCCAGCTGTCGTCAGACGAAGCTCCATCCTCATCCGAAGATGAAAGGTACCATCAGGTGGTGACAACGAAGAAGGTGCTTAGATCACCACCGAAGTCGCCTTCTCCACCACAACCCCCCCCCCTCGCTCTATATCACCAGATCGACGTAGCCGAGATTCGGCTCAGTATGAGCAGGGGGAGAGGAATCCTACAGCCGGGGGTCGACTACCGTATGCAACCCTGGCAGCATCCGCCGGCCGATCATCGCCGGTGGCAACTTCCAATCCGTCCGGGCTCCCGCAGGATGATGGTCAACGACCATCTACCAGCTATGCCCATATGGTAGCTGCACCAGCAGTACCACGCCCACAACCGGCGGCAGTGCCTACTGAGAAGCCTGCCGACCAAGACAAGACTCGCATCCCGCCCATAGTGGCTGAATGCCTACCGGATTGGACGAGGCATTTTAAGGAGCTCAACAGAATGTTGGGCCACCCTTTAAATGCCCGTCCATTCGGGAAAGGCGTGAGGTTCACTCCGCAAAGCACGAACGAGTTCAGGACGGTCCAACGCTACATGATTGAGCTGACTAAGGAAGTACCAACATTGTCGTGGTATTGCTATACCCCGGAGGAGGATAAGCCCACCAAAGTGGGCATCCGGGGTCTACCAATGGGCACGGACACCAAAGACATAGAGGAGGCTATTAGGGCAAAAGGCTTCCCCGTCAAATATGTCAAAGCAATCCCACCGCGTAGAAGCAGACCTGGCTGCATCTACTTTGCCCAGTTCGACCACCTGAGCCTGGAGCAGCTCCAAGAACTATACAAAATCGACGAACTCCTCTTTATGAGAGGAGTAGTCATCGAGGCCTGGCAAAG